GGGAGGCGCTGGGGACGAGAGACTGGCTTTGCTGCCTTGGCCCGGTTGTGGGATCACTGAAGTATGGTTGAGATAGGAGCGTTCTGGGAATCTCCTTGCTTATGGGAGGTGTTTATGGGTAAAAAAAGCTGTAACTAGGTGTGATGAAAACAGAGCCCCGGGGGGCTGCGGGAGGCGCTGGGGACGAGAGACTGGCTTTGCTGCCTTGGCCCGGTTGTGGGATCACTGAAGTATGGTTGAGATAGGAGCGTTCTGGGAATCTCCTTGCTTATGGGAGGTGTTTATGGGTAAAAAAAGCTGTAACTAGGTGTGATGAAAACAGAGCAAAAAGGTAGATTTAGGTTTGATGTAAAGTCTTTACGGTGGCAGTGATGAGACACTGGAACGGGTTGCCCAGAGAAGCTGTGGATGCCCCATCTCTGAAAGTATTCCAAGTCAGGTGGGACAAGTCTTTGAGCAATCTGATCTAGTGAAAGATGTCCCTGCCTGCAGCAGCAGGGCTGGAATAGATGATCTTTGAAGGTTCCTTCCAACCCAAACTGTTTTATGAGGTGACTATGGGGATGCTTTGAATATAGGACCAGCTTTTTTACATTTTGAGGCTGTTTTAAGTTTGAAGTGATGTTAAATGTTCTTGAATGGAAGTAAATAAATTTGTATACCTTTGAGCTTAACCTCTACTTGCCACCTCACTTTGTTTGAAAATCTTTCTTGTGGAAGAAAACCTAAAGTTGTGGTTTGGCAAAAAAGTAAACTGTCCAGTCAGGGAACAGTAACTCCTGTGTTAGGAGGAAGAAATCTGTTTCACAGGATTTCTAGTTTTCTAGCATTCATTGTCAGGTTCTTTGTCGCTAGGGTTTTGTGATCAGTGGTGGAGCTATGACCACTGAGCAAGAAACCCCTATAAAAAACAAGGGGGAAAACAAGATCTAAACACCATCCTCTAATCTGTGTGACTGCCGTTCTGTAAATAGCTTGTGTTTCTGAGCTCTGTGGAAGGGTGCTCTTGCCCAGTTAACCTTGAAGTCCAATTTGCAGTTATGAGAATGGAATTAGATATGCTCTGGTTTCTTTCCTGTTCATCTTTTTGTACTTAAACTCACAACTTGTTGGCACTGAGCCTGGTAGGTTTTCAAATGTTTGATGCAAGTTGCATGTTCGTTGCTAAGAATTATAAGGTTCAAGCTTTAAAACATTCCTGGGCTGTAGTGAGAACAGCGTATGGGTTCCTTCCATGGGATGAAGGTGAGCTGCTAGAGCAGCTTGGCCTTGTGACTTGTTTGAGTAGTTAGAGATGTGTTCTGGCAAGGTGCTGTGATGCTTTCTTATCTTCAACTGTGCCCTGTTTCTTCCCCACAGATTGAGGAAGGGGATGCTAACATGAATGCACCTGTCTTAACTCCTTCATCGTCCACTGAAAGCGTGAACAAGGTACCCGTGGTGAAGGCCAAGGCCACTCATATCATCATGAATTCTCTCATTACAAGTAAGAACTCTAACCTCTGATGTGGTGGCTAATGGGGTGTGGGCACATGAGTGTGATTTGGCTTGGTAATGCTTCAAGGTAACTACCAGAGTTACCGGACAGCTTGTGTGTTCAGACTGACTCTGCTCTTGAGCTGTCTGAGTGTTTTTGGAGGATGCTTCTAGAAGGAAGCAAGGAACTAGGAATACGCCACACTTACTGCATCTGTGTTTCCAGGTACTGGAGGTGGGTGTTGAGGGAGGAGCGTAGGGTATGTTACCTGCTGATAGGACACTGCAGTCCACACCACCTTGTTGCTGGAGTGCAGAGGCAGCTGCTGCTGCAACTCTGTTTGCTTATTAACTTGCCATGTCTGAACGTCAGGTAAAGCTCTAAAATTAACTAAAGTGTTGTGGAGTGCTGACATACTGTGCTAATGAAGCACTTGCTGGCATTTATGCTAGTTAATAGCTGCAGCAGCTGTCTTGCTAACAGTAACATTTTAAAAAAAACAAACATCATAAGCCATGATGCTTTAATATCACATTGGGTCAGTTATGTTTGCAGAGAAGACATGCCCATTTGCGACAAGAGGAATTCATGTGTTAATCTGTCCCTGCTGCCTCTTCTTTTACTAGCTGGGATCTGAGCTTTGTCTTTTCCTCTAAGCAGTGCTGCTTCCAAAGACTTCTAGATTTTCAGACCAGCATTTTGGAATATCTATACATTTACACTTATTTCAGTCTTGGCTCAAAAATAACTAACACATCAGAAAATAATGTCTGGGAATATGGACTTTCTTCTGGAAAGCAGCTCCTGTTCTACTCTAATGACAAAATGTTGATCTAGTTAAAAGCCTGATGGCCTAAAAATGTTCTTCTGCAGTAAGAAGTCAGAACCATCAATCTACACCTCCAAGGAAGAACATTCAGTCACAAGTTGGAAATAAACAGACAAAGGTCCTCTAGTTGTCTCATATATACAGTGTAGTAACCTTGCAAATAACTTTAACATGGGAAGTGTTACCTGTTTTAGAGAAGACATTGAGCTTTTCCAGTAATGTTGTTGTGCTGTAATTCCTTTTGAATTTTTTCTTAGCTCCACTAGGGAGTGAACATCTTATGCTGGTAGTCGGGGGAAAGTTCTTATATTTCTCAGAACTTAAGCTGATATCACCATATTAGATGCTGGCTCTGTAATTGGCTGAAATAGCTGATTTTACCTAATCTAGAATCACTGGGAGTCTTTACCACCTGTTCTGCAAGGCTGTGATTGTCAAATTAGCTGTTGTGGGCAGTCTTTCAGAAGAATTCTTTTTTTTTTTTTGTTGGCCAAAAAAACTCCCTTAAAATATCCAGCTCATTGGGGTCTCCTAGATTTATGAAGTTGTAATTAGGAGTGATGCAGCTGCTGGGGTAAAATGTGTTTAATTATAGGTGTTGCATTTGTAATACATCTGGTGATTGGGACAAATCACTGCTCATCTGACTTAGCCCTATGACTCAGGATAGTTTTCAAGTCAAAATATCTCATTAGATTCATCTTGCTGCCTCTGTAAACTCATCACAATACCTAGGTATGAATGATGAAAAAAGGGTCTTGCATTTGGTTGTGCAAGTTGTCTTTGCTAGAACTGCTTGTGGTGGTGTTTCTGTGTGACTATGTGCTCTTGTCCATTCCAGAGCAGACTCAGGAGAGCATTCAGCGCTTTGAGCAGCAGGCAGGGCTGAGAGATGCTGGCTACACTCCCCACAAAGGCCTCACTACTGAGGAGACCAAGTATCACCGAGTGGCTGAGGCAGTTCACGTAAGGCTTGTTTTGCTTTGGCTTTCTTTCTCTAAATTGTGTACTAGCTTAACACCTATCTGGTGACATAACTTTTGGAGCATGTTGCTAGGACTCTCCTTAAACTGCTTCCTCTGAAGACTTTTAGCTCATTGTGTAAAAAAAAGTTTACCCTCTTTTTAAAGTTAGTGTTAGCCTTTACAATTTTGAAACAAACTTTTGTCTGAAATCTGTTATATTCCACAGTCATGTCAGATTATCACAGTCATCTTTCCAAGTGGGGACATCTCTACCCAGAATCTAGTTTCTTGCTGTACCTTTGAATGGTGCCCTGCAGTTAACTGTTGTAACTGTTTATCCCAAGATAACTTGTAAACCATGCATTTCTGATGTGAAAGTTAGCAGATGAAATTGGGCTTGCCTCTTGCTGGAAATAAAGACAAAGGTCTTGGATCAACCTGTTTCCGATGAGCTCAGTTCCCACGGTAATCTTGCAGCTGGAGTTTAATAGTGAACTCTCCAAGTATACTCCCACAAGGTCAAAGTTCCAATAACAGCGTTGGTGAATTGCATTAGTGTGGCTTGGATAGCCACAGGAAACATTTGGAGAAGGTGCCTGTGTAGTTGGTGTTTGAACTATAACTGCCCTTCAAGTGACTTCTTCAAAGTTCAGTTTGTACTGTCTTACTTTTAATAACCTGGTTCACATACACCCAGTTCCTGTTTGTTTTATGACCAAGCGTACTCTTTATAAATGCAGTTCATTGCAGTGTTCCCATCCTATTGTATGTGATTACTTCTCAGGGTCTAGTACTCCTAGACCTGTACTTTCTGTACAAGATCTGGTCTCACCTTCATTGGCGAACTTGTGTGACTGAAAGCTTTGTTGCCCTGAAAAGTGCTGCAGGCAAATCTGGCATTTAGACTTGTTACCAGGTAGCTGAACTGGTGTAGGCTAGCTCTGCTACATCTGCAGCCACCCTATAAATGCTGGTATTGAGGCAATGTGTTACTGTTGGGTAGTGCTTCTGAATTTCAGAGTGAGCTGTAGGTGTTACTTTACTCCCTCTAGCCTGGAGGATGTCTTGAACATAGTGCACTTCCCAAATGCTTACATCTGATCTAGAAAGAAGCTTGAGGGGTGCATGCAAGTATTGTAATACTGGGTTTAGCTTTAAGTGAAGTGACACTTAAATCCTTAATCACCTGTGATATAGGCAATTGTCCAGTCTTGGCAATAAAACTTGCTGTTTGTTCCTTATGACTTGTATTTAAGCTCTGTTGCTTCTGTGTTTCTCTTGACTCTCCTAACAGAAACTAAAAATGCAAAGTGGAGACATGACAAAAGATGACAAACAGACTTCTTCTACTCAGTCCACTCCAAGCAGCACTCCTCACTCCTCTCCCAAGCATAAAAACAGGTACTCCGTTCCTGGCAGACCACTGCCACCTCTGGTTTCCTACAGGCTGCTGAGGTGGGAGCTGCTACAAATAACCTTCCTCTCCAGTGAGGGGACTGTCTAAAGGGTGAAATTCAGCACCTGCTGTGGCTTTGTGTTGGATAGATCCAAATGTTGAAAGCTTGTGGAACCTGAGCATACATATCTTCATCATGGGTTGTAACAAACCTATTAAGATCATCTAAATTGCCCCTGATAACTACATGTAAAGTTCCTGGCACGGTGGGGTCACTTGAAGTATTTATTCTCATGTGTTTTTTTTTTTTTCCCTAGGGGTTGGTTTAGTCAGGGATCCTCTACTTCTATCACTGGCCCAGACTTTACCATGGAAGCTGGTGGGGACAAATTGCCATCTGAAAGGTGGAGCTTCTTTGGACCCAAGGCCATCCAGAAATCCACCAATGATCCAGGTATGTCCTCTAAAATCTCCTGCCCTGCAAGAGCTAGGGAAGAACTGTCACACAACAAACAGACTAGCTATTTCTGGAGCCTTATCCTGCTTGCCTTCTTACTTTCTAAGACCACCTTGTGAATGTGCTATTCATATCATTTCTATGCCTAAATATAAAGCACTTAAATAAAACCTATGCCAAGGATCTGAAAGGAGAAACTTGCACTGAGCTGCAGTGGAAGGGCAGGGTGTGAAGGTGACAGCTCTTTACTCTTTCTCTGCTCTCTGGTGGAACCACAAGTGGAAGTGCCAGCCACTGATGTGGAATAGGTTTAGATGACATGAAGCTTCTGGGTCTTGCATAGGCTGTCTGCAGTGTTGGGCATCAGTGATACTGCTCACTCCTGGCAGCAGTGGAAAAAGGACTTGGCTAGTTTTCCTAGCTCTTACTTGCTGTGATTTTTTTTCATCAGGAGGATTTACCATCCAATCCTATAAGGGTGCCCAGAAACCATCCCCAATGGAGCTCATGCGTGCTCAGGCTACTAGGATGTCAGAGGATCCAGTCACCTTCAAACCACCCAAAATGGACATTCCAATCACAGAAGGGAGGAAACAATCTCCACGTTCCCATAATATCAAACCTCGGGATCTGAATGTGCTCACTCCCACAGGGTTCTAGGAATAATGCTTCTGGCATCTTTAGCGGGCTACGGGGTGTCTTAGGCTCTGCTTCCCTGTCACGTTGTGCTGCAGTAAAATAGGAAAGTCTCCCTTCCAGCTCTTCATCTCAGAAAAGGAAACAGTTGTGACTGTCCTCTTAAAGCCAGTCTTGGAAAAACTTCTGCACTAGTACTAAACCAATGTAAACTATCCTGTCTGCTGTATTGCACAAGTTCAGTCTGTTAGGCTGCACTAGCTGTGCTTCCCAGTACACTACACCACAGTAAAACCTTGAACCATGTTTTGTGGGACAGGACTGCATGTGGTGTGCAAGCAGGCTGGTCTGTCTACCTGTAGTCTGATTGTCTTGTCCTGCTTAGTATTGAAGTATCCTCAGGAGGACTGTGGTTCTGTCTGGCTTATACAGAACATGAGCAGAAAATGATGAAAATGAGCAAGGACTAAAAAATGGACCATTAACTGCCAGGAGGAAGTTGCTCTGGGAGTGTGGTGGATCAGTGTTAAACGTGGCACTTCCTTACTATCTGGTGTGACCTTATAGTTCAACACCTAGTACTTCTTGGAATTTTTTTAAAGGAAAAGTGGAGCAGTGACCATTCTAAGATGTTCTTATTAGAAAGGCAGGGAGCAGAATCTAGTGGGGCTTGGCAGTAACAAGGGAGAATTGCTACTCTTCCAACTCTTTATGTTCCTCCAAAAAGGTGGAAATGCCCAGAGCTGGTGTGGCTTGAACCAAGTAATGCTCCTCTCTTCTTTCTGCAAAACACCACTGTCCTGCCTTCTAAGAAGACAACAGACTCACAGATGTTCTGGCACTCCAGGTGCTGCTTGATCTTTTTTTTTCTAGCCTCTTGTATGAATCATGTAGAAGTGTATTGGACACCAGGGGCACTTCTCAAATAGGGTTTTTTGTTTCATCAGCATTAAGTACATTTTGCAGGGCTGGGGGAGGCCTGAGGGCAGATTAAAGCTAAACATTCCTCCCTGCTATGATGCAGCTGGATGCAACTTTTTGGCCTAGTCAGAACCAGTTACTGGGAACAGCTAACACTTGCTTTCATGAAAAGTGGAACTTTCACATCTAATCCCTTAAGCATTATAGGTGGTGTTGCTCTGTAATCTTCACCTGTCCTGTGGCAAACAGGTCTCCTCTCAATCTCACGATTATGTTGCAGAGCTCCCTCAGCCAGCAGCAGGCTTTCTGTAGTGGCGAGGTGGCAGCAGCAGCCTTGCATCTGGTATTGGAAGCTTCTCTGTTGCCAGGACACTATACAGAGGTTACTTAACAGCTGGTAACCATTTAGCTCTGGGGTTTTCTGCCTTCTTAAACCAAACATTTCTCCTGGAGGGTGAGGCAGGGTTGGCTCACTTGGCTAGCTGCTGTCCCCTCTGAAGAAGCACGTTTTGTGGCTCTGCTTCCTCTCAAGCTCCAACAGCACTGCCGATGATGTGTTGTGTTGAAAGTCTCCCACCCATCTAAGCAGTTTTCACTGTCACCACTCATTTGCACCTTGGCAATCAGTCTGTCATTTGACATTAATTTATTTGTTGTCTGTATTCATGTCTCTAATGTGTATGATTTTTTTTTTTGTTTGTTTGTTACAAGAAAATAAAACCTTGTGAATTTATTTGTTGTCTGTATTCATGTCTCTAATGTGTATGATTTTTTTTTTTGTTTGTTTGTTACAAGAAAATAAAATCCTTGTGAATGGAGGTTCTTGGTGTGTGTTAGTGCTGGCAAAGCAGCTGTTGAAGAAATGTGGGGCTGTCCAGTGAGAGTGGGGACAAGGTTCTGCCTAATAAGGCTCTGGCTGCACTTGCAGTAGGGTAAAATGTTTGCTCTGCAAAACTCCTTTCTGACAGGGAGGCTAGGTTTAAAGCCGGACTCAGTCCTTAGTGCTTGTACAGATGAAACTAAACATGAAAGCTTTGTATTTTCTTGAGCTATTCAAACGGTGATTCTTCATGTCCCTGAGATTGCTTCTCTTGCGGCTTGTGTGCTGTGTTTGCAGCTGTACTGTGGAGGTGGGCACAGCCAGGCTGGGATTTGCCTAGAGGTGCCCAGCTCCCAGCAGCATGGCCATGTCTACTTTGCCTTCCTCTGAAAAGTTCTTGTCTGAGTGCTGTTGTATCACTTGTAGCTGCCAAAGTACTGCTGATAGAGCACATGGTTCTCCTGGGCTGGGGATGTCTGAGCTAAACACTGGTGTTCTCTGTGCTCCTAGAGTGTTAGCAGAACTTAAAGGGAATAAATAGATCCTGAAGCACCCAGGTACTCTGGTAGAGGCTACTGCTGCAGGTCTTGGTTACACAGGCTAATATCATAGTTCAGTTTGGAAAGGTTGCGTTAAAGTGTGGCTTCAGGGTGTGATAATCTCATTCTACTTTCTGTATTTTACTTCACATCATTCTTGGGGATATGACCAACATATCAGAAAATAACATCTGTAACTATGGAACTCTTGCTGGGATGCAGCTTCTTTTCTAGTTTAATGATAGAAGTCTAATCCAGTTAAGAGAACCTAACTGGAAAAGACACCTGAGTGAGCGCACTGTGCAGGAGAAGCAGCTTTCTAGAGCAGGGAGCACTTGAAGTTTGTGCTGTTGGGAATGCTTCTGGCTGCTAGTCCCAGAATAGACTTCTTCACTTTTCCCTGGATGGTTTATTCCTGGATTAGAGAGGCAATGTCATGCAGATGAGGGGTTTGTTCTACATCTGGCTGTTGGGAAGAGGCTTCCTGAAGAACAAGGAGCAAACCTGTGAGTCCCAGGTCAGGCCCTTGCAAACAGTTCTGGGCTAACAGAAGCCAGGCTTCTGGAGGATGCCTTGCTGGGCAGCGTGCAGCAAGCATCAGGTCTTCAGTGTGTGCAGCATTAACATCAGGACTACTCCATTCCTGTCTGTGACTGTGCTGCTCCATGCTCCTAGGCTCTGATCTTCTCAATACAACTCTGCACAGGGGCAGATAAAGAGGTGGTGGGCAGCTACAGGAGTGTTTCTCCCAGTCCCAACCTCTGTTGCTTCTGAACTGCCTGAGGAGACAGTCTATAGAAATGCCTAATTGCTCTCTGATCTCAGCTGTGATTTGAGTTGATGGCAGTGTATTTGAATTGAGTATTCACGTTCATCATAACACAAATGCTTGCCTGCACTGCAGACACTTCAGGGCATTCTGCAAGGGGCACAGCCTTTTCAGCTGCTGCTATCTAGTCCTCCCTCTTCACATGCTAATACCTTGGGCAAAGTCATGTAGATGTATTTGATTTGGAATAGAAATGTTTCTGTCCTGAGGGCTGATCAGCATAGCTTGGGGATCTCTGCACTGTGAATGCCCTCACTGCAGCCCACACCTGCTCTTTTTCTTAAATACTACCTTTTCCTAAATACTGAACATTTGTTTTGGCATTTTGCTTGCTCTGCAAACTATTGTCAATTTATGGCTGCGTTTGCCTAATGCTATTCCAAAGTACAGTTAACAAAGCTCTGCACTTCCTTTGGGCAGGGCTGGCACCAAGATAGAAGAATCTCAGCAAATATGAAAATAATTTATTTTTTTAGGTGTCCAAAGTGCCTTGTAAAACCAGGATAAGGCAAGTTTGAAAGGACATTCTGAGACCATGTAAACCAGACATTTTTCCAAAGAAATGTATAAACAAACCCAAGAGATGTATGATGCTTGAGACTGCAGCATGAGATGGGGGTTTTGTAGAGAAAACGCAAAGCTCTCTGTGCTCCCTGCCGCAGTGGTTGTCTCCATCAAGTAGCAGTGACAATGAGGAACAGCTCCCGAAGCATGCACAATTTCTCCATGATTTGCAGGGGAAAAGGTTGCCCCAGGACCTGCTGCATTCGGCTGATAAAATCCTCTATCTTTAGTTGAATGTCCAGATGGCTGATGTCATCACTGTCCTGGAGCTTGGGCTTGGCTTTCTGAATGATCAAGTCCATCCGGTCATTCAGTGAGCTCCGTAAGTGCTCTGCAAGAGGAAATGCTGGTGAGAAGAGGCAATGTACAATGGGCTGCCTGACCTGCTCAGGAACAGATTGCAGTGTGCCACAGGCACGTGAGGAGCGGTTCGGAACTGTGCTGATCCTCCCGTGGTTATTCCTGATGCTGCTGCACAAGACTAGCCTGGTGGAAGAAGGTACTGTCCCCTCCTGGAGCTCAGTCTGCATGTGGAGAGAGACCAAGAAATGGGGACGGGGCAGGGCTTGTAGCATCCTTTTCTGCTGTGCTATTGGCAGACTGGACAGCTTTCCAGCTCCAAAGGAAAGTCTCCAAAGAGCTTAACAACAGTGATCATCTAGGGCTTCAGGGAGAATAAGACCATGCAAATATGGTGGTGGGTTCCTCTGCATTCCTCCATGAGAGCCTTAACCTTGGGGTAAAGCAGCTGAAGTTGGGAAGAGGCTTTTAGGAATTTTCTGGTAAAACAACTTTAGGGAGTTTTAGGGAATGTTTTGTGACTGTGCTGCACTCCTGGGGTCAGAAGTACTGCTCCTTCCATGGCTACTGAGTGGTGCTCCCTGCCCAGTCTACTTAGTGCTGAGCATGTCTTGGCTTTACCATCCCTTTGACTTCCACCTTTCCTCCTAAACCACCCTATTGTTCCAGCCAGTGTGCGTGCAACTTGGACAATAGTGGGTACAAAGTACCCCCTTGTGTACTTAGTGCTGGGATCAATCCTTTAGGAAGTAGGCTATTTCTTAGGCGCTAAACTTTGCAAAGCAGGTTGGGTGCTCTGCTTGATGCAATGTCACTTCTTTGACTGCTGGGAATAGTTACCAGCATGGATGGAGGTACATGATCTTTCTAAGACTCAGTGGCCACGAGATCAAGAGTGATCAGAAGAGAGGAGGAAGGGTACTTTGGCTGTGATTTGGCTGTTCTACTGAAGCCTCTTGACGAGTTTGTGTTTAATCAAGGCCAGAACAGGCTGCTTACCCAGTATTACATTTTGGTAACTCATCAGCAGCAAACTCAAGTACTGCAGCATCTCGTCCCATCTTTGCCATGTTGCTGTTTCATCCTATGACAGGACACAGTATTTGGTGATTAAAAGAGGTTTTCTCAGGAGAAAATAAAGCAAAGGAGAGGTTGGACTGGATACCTGGCATTGCAACAGCACAGAGGAGTGGCTCAGGAAGTACAGGATCTTGGCCAGAGACAAGGGCAAAGTTGTGGGCACATCGCAACTATGCTGGAACAACAGCTCTAGCAGCTTACAGCGCAGGAGCTGGCTCTCCATGGTGTTTAAGAAAGCTTCCCTGGAAGACAAAAGGATTTACTCTGAGGGAGACATCACAGCCCGACCAGGGACAACTGCTCTAGCACGTTTCTGGTGTCCCACTGGTTCTGGTCTGGTGCAGGGGCTGCCCAGCATTGCAGTGGAAGGAAAATCACTAGACGTGATAGGAAGACCTTCATTATGCACCTTGGCCACGGGCATGTTTACATTGTTAGGTCTGACCTGTGGCAACTCGTGGATGGTACGGTCTGTGAAGCAAGCTTAGCTGCTTCACTTCACCCTGCCCAGCAGCCTGTGCAGAAAGCCAAGCAAGTGTGAAGTAGGGTCACCGTCCAGCCTGATCTAGAAGATCTGTCCTGGGAGGACTGATAGCTTGGTTAGAGTCAGTTTGGCTTGATTAGACCCAGTATGTGCTCAGAGTTCTGCTAAAAGGGTCTGAAAGGGCTGCCTGCTGGGGCTGGCAGACATGGGTTTGCAATGTCTGTGGGTCTAGTGGTCTCACGTCTACACTAGATCCAGTCAGGCCCTTGTGCTTTGGCTTCAGATACTGCGTTTCCTAGAGAAGCAAACAAAAGCATGTCATGGCAAAGATTCAAGAACTATATCGTGTTTCTAGTGAGCTTCTCAGTTGTCCCTGGGAATCAGTGATGAGCTTGCCAGTACCTGACTGTGCTGATGCAGAGTGGTGCTTTTCAGACCCACTTCACAGTTTGAAAGTCCTGCAACTTTAACAAGTGGGAAAATCAACTTTTCTCAGCAACACACAAGCAGGGAAGATGCGTTCAGCTGGCGATGTTCTATCTCCATGAGATCTGTCAGTCCAACAACCATGCATTTGCTGGCTGGGTCATAAATGAGCCTGTCTTTCTATACCCTATGGTATTTTATGCATCCAGACTTGGATGTAAATTGGGAATAAGATTATTGCTCACACAGGTAGACGCTGCCTTGCACGTGTTTGTCTTACCTTTGGCTCCTCAGGGGAATATTCAGTATAAACGGGAATATCACATCTGCGATCTTACGGGAGCTGCAGTTGGGTGATTTGTCCACTTCCACTGCGATGGACAACATCCGCTGGAGCAGGAGCATCACCCTAAGTAAGAGAGACAGTGAACACTAGGAGACACTACCCCTTGGCTTGCAAAGTAAAGCAGTGGAGATGGCACCTAAGTTCAGCCTCGTGCCTTGCAGTGAGGGACACAGGGGAACGCAGCAGGCTAGATTTGGTGGCTTTTGAATCTGATGCTCTTGGAAGCAGAACTAATCCGCAGATGGGCCCTCAGGTGGCTGTACTGAGCGCTGGTGGAACAGCACAGGGCAGCCTGGGTGGTGGGCCAAGAGCTCCAGCCTTATGCTACATGTAAGAGGAGGATGCTCACTGATCCAGTTTCCTACCAGGTGCGGAAGTCTCTTGCTCACCAAGTGCATGTCTGCCCCAAAGGAGAACTTCAGGTACAGCCTGGCTTCCCTGACCTGACAGAGTGTGACTCTGGGTTCTCCCTGACTTGGGACCCCATGATACTGACAGCAAGGAGCCAGGACTTCTGGGGCTTACCTCTGACCAAAGAAGGCTGGTGGAGCCACCTCTGCCTGGTCAGTGCTGGCCAGCCATGGTGCAGATGATCTGCATTCGGCCCTTGCTTCTGCTGAAGAGGATGCAATTTCTTGTGGCTGCTCCTGGGGCTGGGAGAACCCAACTCCTGTAACTGCTGTGATCAACCATTCGACCACCTCCCTGTGACAGAAACAGGAACGTTAGTGGGGACAGGCCTGGTTTTGCTGCATTCTGACCTACGGATCCACTTGGAACTCAAGGAAACACCCCAAGGGCGGGACGCATTCTTCATCTCCTTGGACAGGTTAGGGAGTAGTTCTTTTGAGCAGCAAATTTATACAGTTGTCAACAGGACTGCCTCCTTCTCAGTCCTGTCCTGAGCAATACAAACCTGACTTTGTTCCTGGGGAAAAGCCCACTAGGTTGTGGCCAGAAATGTCTTGCATCATCTCTGGTGGTTTGCTTTTGTAAACCTGCTCCTGTTCTTTGTACTTGGCCCCTACACCTCCCTTTGTCTCCCAGGCTTTTTTCCTGGAAGGTCTGACCTGGGGTGTCAACAAGAGTTCCCTGAGCCCCTGCCTCTCAGCATGTGGTTAGAGAATAGGGGAGGAGGAAGCAGCCCTTACTTGACATTGTTGAAGCATGTGTCACATGAAAGCACTTTCTTGGCAATTGACTTCTGTAGCAGGCGCAACCTCAGGTTCTGCTGGAAGTCATCCTCCAGGGTCTGCACCACGTACTGGAGGAAGAGGAGCCAGCCAGGGGGCTTCTCCTGAGGACAGATAGAGATTGTATGAGTCTGGCAGAGCTGCGGGGCAAGGAGCATCTGGGAATTTGGCTGTCTTGGGAATGGGCTGAGGTACATGACTGAGGAGTAGCTCCAGGAGGGGCTGCCTGGCTCAGGCAATGCCCTGGGGACTTGGCTGGACCTGTTCTACCATTGCACTTGGGCAATGAAGTTTTGTCTGTTGCTGTATCTTCTTAAGATGAGACAATGTGCCTACAGCTGTGCAGCAGCTTAGGGAGCACGCTGGATAAAAGCAGGAGACCCAACTGGCATTTGCTGCCCTCAGCGGCTGCAATAAGACTGCATATTGGACTGGCCCATTCTGCAGCAGGGCACAGCCATGAGGCCCTGGGGCAACGCTTACCCTCAGGCACCGCATGATGATCCCTGCCCGATGTGACACACGTGGTGCCAAGTACCTGGTCCTCCATGATGTACTTCAGCAGCGTCCAGTCCCATCCCACCGTGGCAGTGTTGGCTGGATGGAGCCTGCAATGACAGCACTGTTCATTTGTGCTGAACTGCCCAACTATCTGCGCAGAAGCACAGCAGCCCCTGGCCCTTCCCCAGCCCTACTTGCTCAGGGGCCTGCCCTGCCTTCTCCTCTCCAGCTTTGCCCTCTCTCTTTCTCCTCCCCTGACTAAGTTCATTTTTTGGAAGCACCTGACTAGGGCTTTATTCCATGGAGAGCATCGGCACTTCTGGGCCAGTGGCCTCACAAAACCTTGTGCCTCTGCAGGAACCCTGAGGGCAGCAGGGAAACTGCTCCAGTCACCTCCAGCCCATGGCCCCTGCTGCAGCCCAGGGAAGGTGTTTTTGCCATGTCACAGCAGTGAAGAATAAGAGCAAGGCAAACACAGTCCTCGGTCCTACAGGGTTCCCTGGTGTCCCAGGCTGTCTCTGCACTGTGTGGGCTTGCTACTAACCAATTAAAGCATGCTGATGATATAGTTGGAGCTACTTTCCATTGTCTCAGCATTCCCTGCCTCTGCCACCCCCCCATCCTCCATCCACCTGGGGGTTTAGTGGCTGCTGTCTGGGCCAGGGATGGTCCTGACCCACCCTCAGACAGCCCAGGGTATGCCTGTGCTGATAACAGGAGGCAGGGACAGGAGGATCATCCTGGGTTATAGGGGAAATTGCTCCCTGTTCCATGGGGGAGGACCATGGAGAATAACCTTTATGCTGGGCAGGCCCCTGGGAGCACCTAGCCAGCCCCAAGGCACCATGGCAAAGGGAACACGTACATTTGGATCTTCATCAGTAGCATGTAGGTGTCCTTCAGGATCTCCCCTTGGTTGGGGTTCAACAGGATCTGTCTGATCAGGTGGGAGATGATTTCTTTGGGGGGACAGTGCTGGCAGGAGACGAACTCACTCAGGAAATGCAAGGTGCCCTCCAGGAAGTTCTCCTCCATGGTGGTGTGCACCATGCTCAGCTTCCCGCTGGGGATCAGGTCAGGTTTCCGCTGCGTGCAAGGCAAGGTAACGGGTGAAAGCCAGCCCTCCCCAACACAGAGGAACCCAGCTGTGATGTGGGGCCCATCGCGAAGGGAACTGCAATAACCAGAGATCCCAACTGCCTGGCAAAGCTTCTCCCAAAATGGGGAGTGGAGCATGGGCAGCCCCTGCTCTATCCTCTGCTGCAGGGGCTGCTCTGAGCAGGCTCTGGCTAAGCTTGGCAGCGGCTGCTCTGAACCCTGTTTACCTGCTGTGTTTCACTGTTGGGTGCTACGCCTTGGAGGAAGAGGTGCTGGACTCCACTTCTCCTGAAATAGTGCAGTTTGTTCAGCCAGGCCTTGCTATCAGCCTTGGTCCTGGCTGGGATCACTTGCTGGATTGCTCCGTGTCGCGGTAAGTCACCTGCTTCCAGCAAAGGCCCTCGGACCTTCTCTGGGGTTGTGGGGATGGCTGGGGCAGGGCTCAGCCTCGGGGGTAGCTCCCTTTGCTGGCAGAGGTGGGGAGTCTCTTCCTCTGGGCCACTGGCTCTCCAGCTGCTGCTGCTGTCCAGGCTGGAGGGGGACAGGGACAGAAGGTCCGAGTCCAGCTGCATGCTGGCCAGGGAGCCCAAGTCACTGTTAAAAGTGGTAGTGCTGCAGTTCTGCTCTGAGCTGCCGGAGGAGCTGTGGTGGCTGGAGGTGGGAGAGAAGCAGCTCCAGTTCTCTATGCTTTCGGCTGTGTCCATGGTGGCACCGGACTCCACGGGAGCGTTGTGTGAGGGTGCTGCAGGGCTCAGCCCCAGTGTTGCCTCTGTTTCTTGCGTTGTGGTGGAGCAGAGGCGGGGATGGGACGTGTGTGCTGCTGGGGCAGCAGGCGCCTGCCTGGGGTCCTGGTCAGCCCAGCCAGTGGTGTGGGGAGGGCTGTGGGAAGGGCTGCATGTGTCCTCTGTCAGGTCGATGATGTTGAGGCTGCTCCATGGCGCCGGGTCTGTGCTTGTGTCCTCACTGGTCAGATCAATAATCTCCTGTGGAGATAGAAGGGCCAGTGCGGTCAGTGACAGTGACACCTGGGTGCCTCGGTCCTCCCCTGCCAGGCACCTCTGCTATGGTGGCACTGTGGCCCCAGCCAAAGGGATAAGGGGGCTCATTGGCAGCAGCTCAAGAAACCAGGGGAAAGATCCTGCTGCCTGGCCGAGGGGATGGGGTAGCAGCCCACACTCTAGTGTCAGCCTCCCCAGGCAGCACGGCTGAGCCCAAACCCGAGCCGGGCTCTTCTTCCCTGTTCCTGGCAGAGAGAAACCCCCCCGTTTCCCCTGGGGCTCCTTACAGCAAATGTCTGACTCCTCTGCTCCAAACACCTTTTGCCATGGGCCTGGCTGCCTGCTCACCTCCCTCCCGGGATGGGGAAACGCCGGCCCCACTGGGGTGCCTGGGGAGGGCAAGAGGAGCACAGGGAGCGCTCCTGTCCCCTCTCCCCAGGGGCTCCTGCCTGGCACTGGCAAGAGCAGCACAGGATCCAAACCTCGGCACCCCCCCTGCGGCATGGCCTCACCCGCTACACGGACATGAGCGGCGGGGAACAGAGCTACCTTCACATCCATGGCACCAAGCCAGAACTACAGCAGCCCCGAGACTTTGGGGACTCCCATCCAGGGCTCGGCAGGTGATGCAGCACCCGGAGCTCCAAGGACACGCCTGTCCCCGGGGCAGCAGGAGCAGGCAAGGGAAGGCAGCTGTGTCCGCACCCCTGGCAGGCAGGACACGGCACTTCTCAGGATCTCGACGTGCCCGGGAGGGGTCTAAGCCTGTTTGCTCTTGGAAAAAAAAAAAACAAACAAACCCTCAGCGTCTCAAAGCAGGAACATGTTTTGCGGACAATTTAAATCCATTTTTTTTCCCCCTGACTCAGACCTGCTGCCTTTCCTAAGGAGGGGCCGCACGTAGCCTGGGGAAGGTGACAAAACCCAGCAGGCCTCGTGTGCTCCAGGACACCAGTGGAGCCGAGGAGGGCCGGAGGCTGCCCTGACTCCAGCCAGCCCGGATGCCCCGTAACTGCCGGCGTTTGAAAACTGCATCATAATTGGGGCCAATGGCGCCCGGTGCAGGGGGTGGACAGAGCATTCCCCCCTGCCCAGGGCTGTGCGTCGGTGGCCTC